CCCCCCCGCACAGCACCCTCAGCTTTTCTGGATGCTGCTTCAGCTGCACGTGTCCACCCCAGCCTGGGGCAGGGAGGGTGGGCTGGGCCCTCAGAAGCCTCATGCACACCTTTCTGGAGAGGTGGTAGGAGCTCAGTTTGTGTCATGGTGACAGTAACATGCAGGTCTCCAAATCACTGCTTAATGACACAGGTGGCAGTTTGTGCTGCCCCCAGAAGCCCAGGCCACCTGCCTGCCAGGCTGCATCTGTCCCTCAAGCCCCCAGCTCCCTGCAGTGGAGATGCTTTCTGGGCAGGGCTTTGAGATCAGGCTCTCAAAGAGTTCATAGGGTCATAGGATGGCTACAGCTGGAAAGGACCTTAAAGATCATCCAGTTCCAACCCCCTGCATGGGCAGGGACACCTCCCACCAGCCCAGGCTGCTCCAAGCCCCATCCAACCTGCCCTTCAACACTGCCAGGGAGGGGATTTCCACAACTTCCTTGGGCAACCTGTGCAAACGTCTCACCCCACTTTTCTCCACGATTATATTTTCCAGCTCTAAGTGTCCTCCAAGGTAAATAACCTCACTCACCCAGATGGTCTCCTCTTGAGAGACTTGGCTTCCACCACCCTTCCTGCAACAGTGCTTTTGGCCCATTGAGAAGTAAAGATAAAAAGGAAAAGAAATGTGTTGATGAATTGCTTTATTTTACTTTTCTAGTCACATCATACGTAATTTACTTTGTGAATGCAGTGGAATATATATCTATTTTATTTTTTTTTTTCTATTTCCTCAGGCAAAACCACATATGTCAGTTTTTTTACCCTCTCAGTGTTTGATGTAAAAGAGGTGCATTAAGCAGAAGGTGTCCTTGGGGACACAGGGTGGCCCTGGGAGGCTGGATGGGCCTGTGACAAACTGACATCTCTGCCTGGAAATATAAAAAAAAAACAACCAACAAAACACCCCACCATACTGAGAAGTGTTTGTGAATTATCTCCCCATTTGCATTACCCAATGAAATGCAAATAACAACTGCACTGTCTGTGTTACCTTTAGGATCTGTTTTTGGTTCGAAATGTTCTGATTTATCGGGCGCTCCTGAATTAACCTCCCCCAGAAAAAACCCAATGGGTTGATTTTCATTTTTTTTCCCCAAGTGAAATTTTCAGAGTTTCCTTTTTGGCTTGTCCTGATTACTCATTTTCTCTTTTTTTTTTCTTTTTTTTTTTTCTTTGTTTCCTGTTTTGTTCTTGATTTTCCTTATCTACCTGCTGACTCACGCCATCCAATCAACATACAATGCGAAAACCATGTCTCCGTCTGTATGTTGTGCACCTGCTGCTCAAACAAACCCAACCCAACCAAAACCAATACTAAAACATTTGTAAATAATCTTGCAAAACCCCATCCATGAAAACATCACATATAGGACACGGTTGGTTTCATTGAATTTAAACAATTCTCTGCTTCTTTTTTTTTGTCTTTTTTTTCCCTTCCGTTGTTGTTTTCCTTTTGTTTTTCTCTTCGTCTTCCGTTGGTTTTTGGTTTTGATTCGTTTTGATGAGATTTCCGATTGCACTGGTGACAAAAGCCTCACTGCAGCCTCAAAACTGGCTTCTTGTCCTGCATCTTCTTCCCTTGGCTAATTGGTGACGTGAGGCCGATGCAGTTACCAATAGCCTCTTCTCTGCTGCCTGTCACACCTGCCAGTGGTAAAGGGGACACTGACACTTGCTTTATTCTGGTGGAAAATGCAATGAGAATAGGAGGGAAGCTTCTGGATGGCCTGGAGTAGAGAAGATTGGCTGGCTGGGAAACCCTTTCACTTGTAAGTGGTTGTCGTGCAAAATTCGGTCCTCAGAAGTTCTTGCTTTCTTCTCCTCACTGAGCTTCCTGCAAAGGGAAGCAGTGCATTGAAGATGCCTTACAGGTGTTTTATGCCTGCATTTGAAGTTTGCAGTGTATTGTAAGGCACAAAAAAATAATGATCAAAGTAATTGCAAACTTGCTTCCCTCCAAGCCAAAGAGAAATCACAAGAAAGAGTGATTTTTATTAAAGAATCTTATGTGATGCCAGCATATAGAAGCATTTTGCCACCAAAGTGGACACAAAAGGATGCAAAAGGAAACATGTCAAGTAAAATGCATAAGCTGTGTTATGAACAGGCCTGAAAAGTACAGGGAACCAGATCCCACTGGGCATTTAGTGCCTGATTCCAAAGATGCCTTTGGAAGTACTGGCCTTTATGATTGGAAATCACAAATGAAGCAAAAGTGAATGAATTGAAGAAACACACAATCTAAAAATAGATCTATTTTTTTTCTATTCTTCACGATCTTGGCCATGATTAATCACCCAAATGAGACCAACAAGCTTGACAAAAATACTTGCTTGGCCACTCAACAACAGCTCTCAGATCTGTATTAACATCTGGACTTTCTGTTGCACAGTTGCTGTTAAGAAACAAATCAGAGTGGATCTTCATTGCAGACCCTAAATAAGCTCCACGGGTGCTTCACGGAAGGTCACAAGAGGGAATTTTCTGCTTAGAAGTAGCAGGGAAGGAAAGGACAAGGTGTAAGCTGCAAGTTTGCCTCATGCAACCTGAGAAGGGAATTGTCTGAGTGTGCTGTGGTGGCTGGAGCCAGTCCAGATGTGCAGGAGCTGTAGGATGTTTTTGGAGACTTCTCCTGCTGCATCCCTGGCTCAGGCAGCACAGAGAAGTGTTCTGGCATCAGCTGGGCATGTGAAAATACCCTGGAAAAAAATCACCTGATCTCCACGTGGCCAGATCTGGGCCCTGGTGCTGTCCACGTTGCAGGTTTGAGCACCCCACCTGCAGTTTGGTAGGATTGCAGTCTCTGTGGTTGTACATGCAGGTCCAGGCTCCTTCCACCACAGTTAGATCTTTGGAGCACTGAGTTGTCCTCTGCTGCTCCTTCCACTGCTGCTGATGGGAGCCTACAGTGTCCACAGCAGAAGCACCAAAGTTGGTAGGGAATGAGGAGAGATCTGTGATCACACATAACATTTTTGTCCAGTGTTTTTCTCTCAGGATGAAAGGACATGATATGATGTGCCTGGAACAGAAGAGTCCCCAAGACACAGACGAGTGTGGCAGAAGTCTTCAGCCTCTTATTATGAGCAAGGGTTTTCCCCAAGCTTCAGAGGCAACCAAGACTCCCTGTAAGATTCCAGAGCTCTTCTCTGTCCTGGAAATGCTGTGGACGTTTAAATGGGAGCAGAACCATTTCCTCAACAGTGGTTCCTTAGCAGGACAGGTTACTTCTGGTTGATGTTAGATGAAGAGACCTGCCAAAACCTCCTGAGTCATTCCATTTGTGCCTAGGTCGGATTCTTCTTCCCACAGCTCTTTGAAACTTGGGGTGAGCCCTTCATTTTGAGGACAGAAATCTGAAGTTTCCAGCCTGGGGTGTTGGGCTGCAGGAAGCAGCAGGGATGAGCAGCTCAGCTTTTGCCAGATGGATTCCTTTGTGGCAACATGTCACCTCCTTCACCAAATCCTGCAGAACACATCCAGCCATGGCAGAAAGTCCTCATAGTCCCACTGTAGGTTTAAAAATTGAAACAGCAAATCCACTGAGCTGGTGCTTTGCCACCAGGGCATCCCTGTGGGCAGGGGGCACAGCTCCCATGGTTGGAGGAAACGTCTCTGCTGCTGAAGGTGCTGCTGGAGGACCAGATCCCAGCCCTCTCCTTTATGGCTTTGCAACTTTCTAGGCTGGAGAACACTCTCAGAAAGAGTAAAAAGAGCAGGATGCTCTTGGTGGGACTGCTGGATCAAGGCCAGACCTTTATCTGTGATGTCTGTTCTCCCTGTTTCCCTCCTGCTTGGCAGTTTGCTCCAGGGACACATCACTCTGCTGAGCTTTGGTCCTGCTCATGTCACAGAAATTGGTTGCTGTGCCCAGAGCCCCAGGGCTGGGTGGGTGCTTTCAGTGCCAGAGCTCCCTCTGTTAGGAAAATAGTGACAGGCAAGATTTTTTCAACCATCAATTGCTAGTCCTCAGGTGGATCCAAAAAATCATAAATCCATGGTGCCTCCTGTGATCACCCGTCAGCCTTTAGCATCTGTGCAACAGAAAAGCCACCAAAAACCTGGAAAGAAAGACCTTGATGACCCAGAAGATGCTCATACATGTGTGTCCTGTTAGAGAGGTGGCTGAAGGGGAAGAGAATTGATGCAAAACGATCTTCCCCACAAGAAATATGGCAATGTGGAGTTTCCCCTTTACTTGCATGCAATTCTAATACCTGCCTGGCCAGCTGTGGTGTCGAAGGATGGGTTTTCTGCTCTGTGTGCTGAGGGTGACACACCTGGAGGCCTTCCCATCAGCACCAGAGTGTGGAATTTTGCCTCCCTCAGAGCAGCGCAGGGAACGGTCCTTCCAGTCTGCCAGTGTTGGTGCCAGGGGATTTTCCTGGGTTGTGAGGGATTTTCCTGGGTTCTGGGGGTCTCCCCGTGGAGCTGAGGCTTTCCCTGTGCTTTAGGAAATGGCAGTGCAGGAGCCAGACAGGGAGAGCTTGGGGAGGAAAATAAAAAGGGTTATGGACTGTTTGTCCCTCTAAATCCTGGGAATTGGGGGGTTATAGACACAACTGCATAGTTCTCAGGCCCCTGTTTTGTGTTGCCTGTTCACAGTCATAGAGTCACAGAGTAGTTTAGGTTGGAGGGACCTTAAAGATCACCTAGTACTAACCCTCTGCATGGGCAGGGACACCTCCCACTAGACCAGGTTGCCCCAAAAAAATAGATATACTGTGCTGTGCAAAGGGATTGCTTCTGCAGCTACCCTAGACCAAAGGCAATGTTGAGCATCTTGTCAGATGTGAAAATGGGTTTGTAGCAAAGTCTGAGCAAATAAATGTTCTTGCTGTTAAGCTACAGTAACATGGGAGGAAGAAGGTAAGGCAGGTTCCTCCCCAGAGAGGTGGATCCTGCAGGCACTGCCTGGACATGTGCTCCTTGGAGGAATCACAGAAGCTTTTGGGCTGGAAGGGACCTTATAGATCATCTAGATCCAACCCCCTGCCATGGGCAGTTAGGCCTGGGCATGAGAAAGGTCTGGCTTGGGCATCGTTCTGAAGGTCATAATCTGTCAGACATACAGGCCTGATGCCCAAAAGCCTTGAAGGTCACAATTAAAGTCTGATCCAGCTGTGGCTTGTGAGAAGACTTTCTGTGGTGAACATGGGCTCTGGGTTGCCCCTCTGCCCTCCCTGTGTCAGTCCCTGGCAGCCAGCCCAGGGGAACAGCTCACCAAGGACCAGGTTAGGCACTATGACATCCCATTCTCCAGCCACCAACTCTGCCCCTTGAGTCTTACATGGCCCTTACCTGCTCAGGTGAGTTCAGCACTATTTTGTGAAGGGGATGGAAGTGGTGTGGAAAATCACCCAGAACATCATGCCAAGAGACAAGGACTGATTTTTTAGTGCCTGTTTTTCCTGACCTTGAACAACCCAGGGGAATCCTTGCTTGCATTTTGCCTGCCAGAGCTGCTTTCTGTTGCTGACTGGCATGGGCTCAGTGTTGTCTGCTCTTTCATTGAACACACCTTGTGCTTTTCTCTTTTCTCTTGAGTTGAGGATTGAGTCTGATATTTTGGTCTGTGCCTAACTGAGCTGCTTGCCTTTTTAACCTGAGAGAAACCAAGTGCATGCCTGAGACTTGATTTCTTGAACTCTCTGATGGGACTGGTGGAATGCGATGCTAATGGCCCCAAAAACTGAGCTGGCATTTAAAAGAATTCATAGATCCAACAAGCCCCCCCAAATTCAGCATGAGCTCTGAAGCCAAATGAGCAAGAAACATGGGTCAGTTCAATATGACTGGGTGTCTTCTGGTAAAAAGAATACAAGGGAAAGATTATTTTTGCTCATCTTTACCAACAAGAGCTCCTTATGATTATATTTTTCACTCTGCTGCTTGATAGTTGAAAGTGGGATATTTTCTTAGCAAACTCAGTCAAATAAGTGGCTGTGAACAGAGATTCACAAATATGTGCATTGGAATCAGTTCAGAAAGGGGGGATCTTTTTCCTCTCCTTAAAATAGGAGGGCAAGAGGGATCTGGCTTTTGCATGTTTTGTTTTGGAAAGAACCCTCTCTAGATTAGCTCCTTGGGGCAAGAAAGCTCTTTTCCCTGAAAGAAAGGAAAAAAAAAGGGCTGGGGGGTGGGGAGAATCAGGCAAAACAAATGGAAATCAGAACCTGTCTCCAGCAGTTCTTTGATCCACCTGAAAAGGCACATTTAATACTGATTTAAAAACTCAGCAGGTTCCTAAAGCTCCTCCTGCTGTTGAACGCTCAGCCACCCCAATTGATCCATCTTCCAAACAGTCTTGTTGGTGCCATTTCTCCTTGATGAGCTTGTCCAGTCCCATATTATATGAACATTTAAAACCTCCAGGTTAGAAAACATCCCCATTCTTTCAAGGATGTTTGACTCTTCACTGGACAAAGCCTTTCTTTGTTACAGCCCAGGCCATAGACACCATCCTTTGCAACTTGTCTTGGCTTAAGTTCAATTCATTGTCCAAAGCAGCTTGACCAAGACTTCCAAACAACCTCACTCTTTACCAAATGATAACATGGCACCATTACCTCTCCCTGAGTCCTCCTGGGGAGAAGACCTTACTGAAAGAAAACCAGACCTTCATGGACAGCGTGAAAGGGCCTTTTCCTTTTCTCTCACTGACCCAGTAGCAGAGGGGAGGGCTCTTGTGGAGAGGGGTTTTCTCATACTTGCTGCATGTGGAGTGATCTGCACTGACGAATGTTTCTTTTGGAAGGTTTTCTGGTGGCCGATTTGCTGCTTAGATCGTGAAGCTGGTAATTTTAATTTCTTTTTGGCGGGCTGTGGTTTGGAATCGCGTTAATGTCTGAGGGACACACAACCTTTACTTTCCGCAGGACAACTTCATCAACCTCAGCTTCCTGAGGCTCTTCAGGGCAGCCAGGCTTATCAAGCTCCTCCGCCAGGGTTACACAATCCGCATCTTGCTCTGGACGTTTGTGCAGTCTTTTAAGGTGAGTTTTGGGCCAGGGAAAAGGGGTGGGGAGGGGGTGATGGTGGGCACGGGGGTAGCAGCCTTCATGGGGCGTCAAGGAGCTGCCCCTTGCTGAGGGAATGACCTCTCTGCACCTCCACAAGGTGGTTGTAGGAAAGGCCATTCTGCAGCAGAGCTCACTGACCTGCACTGAACATCTCCTGCAGGTGCTGAGTACTTTGGGATTATAGGGTCATAGAATGTTGGGGTTGGAAGGGACCTCTGGAGATCATCGAGTCCAACCCCCCTGCCAGAGCAGGACCAAAACCAGGGCAGGTCACTCAGAAAGGCATCCAGACAGATCTTGGTACTCTCCAAAGAAGGAGACTCCACAACCTCTCTGGGAAGCCTCTCCCAGGGCTCTGTCACCCTCACAATAAAGAAGCTTTTCCTCATGTTGAGGTGGAACTTCCTGTGTTCTAGTTTGCATCCATCCCTTGTCCTATCACTAAAAAGAGACTGGCCCCTTGTTTTTGACACCCACCCTTCAGATACATGTATACACTAATAAAATCCCCTCTCTGTCTTCTTTTCTCTAAACAGCCCCAGGTCTCTCAGCCTTTCCTCATAGATGTTCCAGTCCCTTCATCATCCCTGCAGCCCTCTGTTGTACTGTCTCCAGTAGATCCCTATTCCTCTTGAACTGGGGAGCCCACAACTGGACACAACACTCCAGATGTGGTCTCACCAGGGCAGAGTAGAGAGAGAGGAGACCCGGGGGAGACTGGGGGATTTGCATTAGGAAAAGGGAGTCTGACTAGTGGTTCTGTGGCTGCTGTTTGCCTGCAGCCAGTGCAAGGTTAAATTGGACTCATCAGATTTCAGTCTTGGAGGCAAAACCCAAACCATTGCATTTTGGTGACGCAACCTGTGAAGCTGCAGCAACTTGTTAGGACTTGGAGGATAACAAAAATACAAGGTTTTGTTCTGAAGTCCAGGCAGTTGCTTTACCTCCTTTGCTTTGCCCCTGCCCTTCCCTCCCAGGCAGCTTCAGCACGTGGTGGCAGCCAGTGGGTTGTGGTGCAGGGGTGACTGTCCCCAGCAGCTGGGTACAGCACTTCTGGACTAAGTGACCCTCAAACAACAGCCTTACAGCAGCTCAGTTCTCAACCTGTTCTTGACTTCCACTCCACTGTTTTCCAGATGTAAAGAAGAGCCCGAGTGCTCCAAAGTTGCTTATTTATAACAGATCTCAGCTGCTTTGCAGCCCATTTCTCCAGCTTGTTGTGTTTTAACTCTGGTTATGGGGTGTGCCCATTCTGCAGTGCAGACAGGAGATGATTTAATCTGAAATCAAGATTTGTAGCTCTGATCCTGAGCTCTAATGTACTGGTTTGTACAGACTGTGCAACTGCAGGGAGCAGCCCCTCAGTCCCATCACACGTGGACCCTCCTGGAAAGCACTTGACCTCTCTGGCTCCATCTTGCAGGACTTCCAGAGATATACAAGTAGAGCTGATGTGGGAAATCAGAGCACAAGGAGGTCAGGGAGTCAGGTCACAGCCAGCAAACTCCATCTCCCTCTGGCTGGTGGGGTGCCAGGCTCCTGAGTGCTGCACATGTGGGTGGCTGGGCAAGTCTGGGACCATTTCTCTGCCTTTGCACAGGGTCTCATCTGCTCCTGGGCTGAGCTCTGGGGTCTGAGGGTGATGGTTGATGTCCTGGGTGCTGTGCCAAGCTCAGGGAAGTTAAAACAATACAGAGAGGTGATTTCAGGTGATAAAACTCCAGGGAGCTGTGTGCAGTCTCCAAAAATGGAGAAGAATTTTTAAGCAGAGAAAGGTGTTTCTCTTGGGCAGCTGGAGGAGATGCCAGGGGGCTCTGGACATGCCAGGCTGGGAGTGTTAGACCCTGTGAGGGAACCAGAATGGAAAACTGGAATATAAGTGCTGGTCTACACTGGAGCTGGTCAGGAGAGAAGTTTCTATTAGACATTTTAGGCCATAGAGGCAAAAGGTTTTTGAAGGATGGAGATGGGAATATAGAGGTTTCTTCTTTGTACAAGCACCCTGGGAAAGAACTGCAGGTATCTGTGCTGTTATCCCATGGCTGGGGATGAGAATTGTATCTGCATGGCATGTCCCTTTGGGAGACACCAGACAGGCAGCTGGTGCTCTTGCTGTGTTCTGCAGCCACCCAGCAGCTCATGGAAAGGGACTGGGATTGGGGGGCTACAGGGCCTTTAGCTGGTTGGATCAGGTTTTCTCTGAGGATGGATGGATGGATGGATGGATGGATGGATGGATGGATGGATGGATGGATGGATGGAAGGATGGATGGAGGGATGGATGGAAGGATGGATGGAGGGATGGATGGAGGGATGGATGGAGGGATGGATGGATGGAAGGATGGATGGATGGATGGATGGATGGATGGATGGATGGATGGATGGATGGAGGGATGGATGGAGGGATGGAGGGATGGAGGGATGGATGGAGGGATGGATGGAGGGATGGATGGAGGGATGGATGGAGGTGGTGTTGCTGCTGCTCTCACCTTGTACTTCATAAGGAGCCCTACAGCCAGGAGAGCCTCTCCCTGAGGCTGAGATGTGGGGTCTGCAGATATGAGATGCTCCCCCTCAGGAGAGTGTCCCTGGACTGTGCAGTGTTGGCTGCACCTTGGGAGATGGGCCCAGCCAGAGCACTTTCCAGCAGAATCCCAACCCTTCCCCAGGTCTGTGTCCCTGCAGTAGAGCTGGGACAGCTCCTGGGACACACGGGGAAATGCTTGTCCACCTTTCCCCAGTGCTGAGCTCTCAGTCTTTGTCCCCAGGTGTCCAGCAGAAACCACCTCAGCCCTTTGCCCCATGTTTCCTACTGGCCTCCCTATGGCTGCATCACCCCTCTCCTCCCCCAGCATCACATGGCCCAGCTCTAGGCCAAGATTTCTCATTTTTTCCAGCTATTATTAATTAAGAAGCATTAATTACCCGTTCGTTTAGCCTGAGTGGAAAGTAACTATTGCTCTCAGCTTGGGTGACATAATTACATTGTAGCCTTCACTGATTTCTTGTTAAAACTCAGGCTGGTTTTGTCCTCCTGGGATAGCAATCTGTGCTTGTTTCAGAGCAGGAGCTTGTTTCTTGGCTGGATATTGTTTTTCTCAAACTAAATTTACAGCAAGGTCATTAAAAATTAATGTTCTTACAATTATGCCTAGAAAATGCCAGTGCCTGCCAGTAGCTCCAGTGCTCACTGTTGAGCTTCTGGTTGTGTCTTCCCTGCTTCCCTGCAAAGGTGGAGAAAGAGCCCTTGGAAAGCCTAGACAGGTGATCCATGAATACCTGACTCAAGGGGTTTGTCTTCTGAAGGCTGCCAGAAATGTTCCTACCCTCCTCCCAGCTCCTTCAGCTGGAGGACAAACCCCCCACAAAACACAAAGCTGCCCAGGAATGAAATGCTACCAGTTGATATGTACATTTGCAGTCATTAATACTACTTTCTCCTTTCCCACAGGCCTTGCCTTATGTGTGTCTCCTCATTGCCATGCTCTTCTTCATCTATGCCATCATTGGCATGCAGGTAAAAATTTTAGCTTCCTTCCTGACAGTCAATAGCCTGGGTTTGTCCCTCTGGTTCAGGGTGTAGGTGGGTTGTTTTGCTTCCACAGCAGCACCAACAACTGACCTGAGGAGAACTCTTCTCGTCCAGTGTCAGGTAAATTAGAAGTGCAGAAAGAGGCCACTTTTTCTACCCTTGTTGCCAAGTCTGTGCTGAATGTGGCCCTGGTTGTACCAAGGCAGGCAAAGCAGGTGCAGAGCTGGTATCTCCAGAGGGGCTGGTGGGCAGCTGGGGCTCTGTCCCTGCCTCTGGGGCTGCACGTCAAGAGGCTGCACTGCTCTGAAAAGAGGTGAGAAGTTGGATGGAGCTGAACTGTGGGGTTGGAAAGGGTCTGTGTGAAGGTCAAGCACATTAACCTTGGATTTTTCCAATTTGATCCCCACAAGACGTTTTTATCTCCCTCTTCAGTGCAGAAATTTGGCTTTGCCATCCTTTAAACCATAACAAATGATTTTCCTGCCTTTTATTCCAACTCCACGTGACCCACCTGTCTTGACAACGTCCATGTGAGGACGTGTTTGACCTGAATCACTTCTGTTTGCTGTGGCAGGTTTTTGGGAACATTGCTCTGGATGATGAGACCTCCATTAATCGGCACAACAACTTCCGCACCTTCCTCCAAGCCCTGATGCTTCTCTTCAGGCAAGTGGAGTATGAAAGGTCATCCAGGCTGGGTGGGAACAATGAATAAGCCTTGGGTTTTGCATATGCTAGTTTAGCTGCTGAGATTCAGGTTGCTCCTGAAGAAGGTATTTGGACTAAAGCATCTGTTCCTGCTCCCTCCTCCTCAACACATCTCTGAGCGTGACAGATGTGATTCAGAGCATCACAGAATCACAGACTTGTTTTGTTGAAGGGACCTCAAAGATCATCCAGATCCAAACCCCCTGCCATGGGCAGGGACACCTCCCACCAGCCCAGGCTGCTCCAAGCCCCATCCAACCTGCCCTTCAACACTGCCAGGGATGGGGCAGCCACAGCTTCCCTGGGCACCCTGGGCCAGGCTCTCACCACCCTCAGAGTGAAGAATTTCTTCCTCATGTCCAACCTAAATCTTCCCTCTTGCAGTTTTCATCCATCCCCTTTTGTCCTCTCCCTCCCTGCCCTTGTCCCAAGCCCCTCCCCAGCTTTCCTGGAGCCCCTTCAGGCACTGGAAGCTGCTCTAAGGTCTCCCTGGAGCCTTCTCTTCTCCAGGCTGAACACCCCAACTCTCCCAGCCTGTCCTCATAGCAGAGCTGCTCCAGCCCTGGGATCATCTCCATGACTCTCTTCTTGTGAAAAAACCCTTCACAGTGAAGAATCTCATCCAAATGTCTCACCTAAATCTCTCCACAAAGTGACCCCAGTGCTGTGACTCCCTGTGTCAGCTCAGGCAGGAGCTTAATATAAGACAGAAACCCCCTGGTGTAACTGGTTGATGTGCTTCCTGTCATGAAACTTTATTTTTAAAGTGAGAATTCCTTTAATTGGTCATTTTTGCATTGCCAACAAGCTAACACTTCACACATCAACACCAACCCTCCTTCAGAGGGAAAGTATTTCCATCTGGGCTCGTTCTGCCTGGAAACAAAGCATTTTCACTTGGGGAAAAAAAACATCCCAAAACAAACCACAAATCAATGAAATGCCAGATTTTCCCTTTCAGACCTGGGCAAAATGAAGTGCAGGCCTTGCTCTAAAATGGAGCAACCTGGGGGAGATTTCCCTTCTCCAGAAGCTGGATGGAAGTGAAGGTAGCAACCCCCTCCCTCCCCCCCAGCTCAGATAATCACTCAACTCAAAACTCTGAATTTTAATATAACTGGATAATATTCAGTCTTCTGTCCAGACCTCTTGGTGCCTTTCCAGCCCCATGTGGGATGGAGGGGACAGAGGCAGCAGGACCACAATGAGGGAAGTAGGTTCTGCACAAGGGGCTCTGGGACTCAATGCCACCAGTGGGGGAACCTGCTGGGTAATTCAGAGGAGGTTGGAAGCTCATTTTGTTTACACTGAGCACCAAGTTTTCTCCAAGAGCAGGGGGAAGGCTTGTGAGCTGCCTGTGTGTACAAATGAACATGGCTGAGAACAGCCCTGGCCCTGGGAATGGATCCTCCTAAAGGAACCTCTGAGCCTGGGGCAGAAACTAGAGGGAAATTCTGAGGCTCTGTGGAAGGACAGAGTAAACAAACATGGGGATCCTTTGGCTTCTGATCCATGCCCACACACTGCAGGAGGTGATTTATTTTGAGGACAGACCCAGAATGTTTGCTTATGGCTATTCTTGTCCCTACAGTAGAAGTAGAACTTAGAGGAGAAGGAGGGAAGGGGTGAAGGAAACCCAGAAGGCTGTCCTGGAAAAGGAACCTGAGTCACCATGACAAACCAGACCCTGCTGGTATTTCCATATCTGCCCGATAAGGGAAATCAAGAGGTTGAATTGGAGAAACCTGGTTTCATTTCTTATTGTCTCCATTGGGTTTGCAGCCAGCACGAGGGCAGAAGTATTACTGCTTCAAAAGGGAGCAATCTCAACTCTATTTACTTATGTTTGCACTTTGTACCGAGCGTGTTTAAATCAATTTGGTTTTATTCTCCATAAAACCAGTACAGCTTAGGCTACCTGAGCCAGTTTGGTTGCTTAAGAGAGGTAATACCTTGCTGCACTAGGGGGAAATGCTCTTTCTCCTTCCTTTTTCATGTCAGGAGGCTGGGAGTTCCAATTCCCTGTGTAAATAGAGTCACCTGAACACAACCTTCCACCCAATTAATTCAGTTACTGGGGTAACACAACCAGGTGGGGAGGGGGTTGGATGAGCTGACCCTCTGCCCTCCCTGTCCACAGGAGTGCCACGGGGGAAGCCTGGCACGAGATCATGCTGTCCTGCCTCAGCAACAGAGCCTGTGACCCACTCTCTGGCCTCACCAAGAAAGAATGTGGCAGTGATTTTGCCTATTTCTACTTTGTGTCCTTCATCTTCCTGTGCTCCTTCCTGGTAAGTCAGTCCTGACCTCTCCCCAAAGTACGAGGTGCTGATGTGGTTCCCCCTCCCTTCCACCACCCCTGTGCTTCCTCCTTCTCCTTAATTATGATTTATAGGATATTACAAGATGCCTTCACTAAAACCCATTTATCATCCCACTGATAAAATCCCTTCAATCCCCACAGAGGTCATGTAGTCATTAGTTTCAAGGGAAGGGGTTTATCTTCTCACAGGGGGGCTGATGTTGGGAATTAAGCATTAACCTCTTTTGTCTTGATTTGTAACATGGTCCGTTGAAGAAGGGGATGGGGGAGGGCAGGATGAGAATGGCCAAGTCAACATTGGTTCAGAAGCCCTTGCAGAAGGCAACTAAGAGCACCACATTTATTTGATGCTTTGTTTTCTTTGTCCAATAATCACAATTATCATTGTCTTCTGCAGTGGTGCCAGGAAAGCTTTAGCCATGAAAGTACCCACAGGTGTTGTACTTGATTCCTACCCTTGGCCATCATATGGGGCTGGGGCTGAGCTTTTCTAGGTGCCAGTGACTTTCTGCTGGCTTGTGTGTGGAAAAAGTTCTCTGCTCTCAGAGCTTGGGTCACTCTCCTGCTTCGGAGGGAGAGAAGAAGGGAAAACCAGGGACAGGGACCCAATTAAACTCCAAGGAGGAAGAGATTAAAGTCCCAGCTCTGAAATGTACCAGAAAAAGGATGTATTGAGCCCACATTCAGTTCCATGGGTTTGCTTTCAACTACAAGATGCTTTGTGCAGTTAATCCCAGCTATCATCAGAGACCTTTAACCAGGAAAAAGAGGTAGATGAGGCAGTTTCACGCTGGGTATAGACAGACCAACTTCACTGGCCCCTGCTGAGATCATTTGTCCAGCTGCTCTTGCCCCTGTGGCATCCCGTGGTTTCATTCATCTGTGTATATTAAAAGACATGGAGCCCTGAAAGCTTGTACAAACGTCATGCTCCATTTACTGATTCCTTCAGCACTCTCTATTTTAGTTGGATAGAATGTGTTTGTTTTTAAATGTTGATTCTGGCTCTTTGTGGATGTCTGGCCTGCCAGGATTTTTTCTCGTGTAATTTGCACTGTTGAAAAATCTAAGTTGAAATTTAAAAGCTTACAGGGACATTATGAACAGCTGTGTCATAGAATCATTAAGGCTGGAAGGGACCTTAAAGCTCATCCAGTTCCAACCCCCCTGCCATGAGCAGGGAACCCAAAACCTCCTCCAGCCTGGCCTGAAAAACCTCCAGGGATGGGGCATCAACAGCCTCCCTGGGCAGCCCATCCCAGTTCTTCACACCCTGAGAGGGAAGAATTTCTTCCTAGTATCTCACCTAAATCTCCTCTCTCTCAGTTTAAAACCATCGCCCCTTGTCCTGTCACTCTCTTCTCTGATGAGAAGCCCCTCCAAGCCACACTGAGCCATGGCTGGAGCTGGGAGCACTGGGAAGGGGCTCAGGACCAGGGGGCAAACTCTCAGAAGTTTTGCTGTCTCTGGGACTGTGGGAACTGTGTTACATACGGGGAAGCTGTACCCTGTGAGTGAGCCCTGCTGAGGTGGTCACAGCACTTCCAGCTTTGGAGTAGCTTGAGAGCTGGACCAGACTTGTATCAGCAGTGGTGTGGCCAGCAGGACCAGGGGATCATCCCCCTCTGCTTGGCACTGGTGGGGTTGCACCTCAAATCCTGGGGTCAGGACATTGAGGGGCTGGAGTGTGTCCAGGGAAGGGCAGGGGAGCTGGGGAAGGGGCTGGAGCACAAGTCTGAGCAGGAGCAGCTGAGGGAGCTGGGGGTGTCCAGCCTGGAGACAAGGAGGTGAGGGGAGACCTGCTGGCTCTGCAGCTGCTGAGATGAGGTTGGAGCCAGGGGGGGTCGGGCTCTGCTCCCCAGGAACAAGTGATAGAACAAGAGGAAATGGCCTCAAGTTGTGCCAGGGAAGATTTAAGTTGGATCTTGGGAACAATTTCCTTCCCCAAAGGGTTGTCAGGCCCTGGCCCAGGCTGCCCAGGGCAGGGGGGGAGTCCCCATCCCTGGAGGGATAGAAAAGCCATGTAGATGTGGTGCTGGGGGATGTGGTGGCCGGGGCTGTGCTGGGTGAATAGTTGGACTTGGTGATCTTAAAGGTCTTTTCCAAGCAAAATGATCTGAAGATTCTGTTCTATGGCTCCTACCTGCCCTCCTGCTGTTCTGTGCTGCTGGGCAGCTCGATCTGTTCCCACTGAAATCCTTGTGCTTCTCCTGCTGGGTTTGATAAGAGGAGAATATTTGATATGCCAGAAACATCCAGGCTCTGTGCCAGACTGGAGCCATTAGGCACAGGATCCTTTTGAGTGTCTTGCCCCTCCTGGAGTTCTTTGAAGGTCTGAATTGTTGAATCTGAGATAGAACATTCTAGCCAAGTTTTTCTCCAAGCTCTTCATGTCTTGTGCCTGGACACAGAAACGCTGGATGACTCCCCATCCCCCTGGTGGTGGAGCAGCCCCTCGGCTGGGCTGGCCCAGGGTGAAGAAGGGGCAGGGATGGGTGCTGAGCCAGCAGCCTCTGGGTTGATGGGTGCTGGGCCAGTGGGCACTGGGGTGGGCTGTGCAGTGGGACATCAGCAGAGATGGGGATTGGGCCAAACTGTCCTCTCAAAAGCTGGAGCAATCCTGCCACGTGCAGGAAGTGGCTTGTGGTGTCCAGGGGAAGAGGAGGTGACAGGAGTGTCCCCAGGGACCTGGGGGTCAGTTGGCAGAGTTTATTCTCCAGGGTACAGCTGCTTCTTGTAGAAACCACACACCTTGCTAAGGGAATTGTACTCTCCCCTCTCCCCTCCCATCTCCCCTTCCATTCTCCCCTCCTCCTCTTCCCTCCCCCTCTTCCCTCTCTCTCCCTTTTTCTTTTTCAATCTTTTCCCTCTGCTTTTTCCTCTCCCCCCTAACTTCATTTCCACTTCCCCTCTGCAGATGTTAAACCTGTTTGTGGCTGTGATTATGGACAACTTTGAATACCTGACAAGAGATTCCTCCATCCTCGGGCCCCACCATTTGGACGAGTTTGTTCGTGTCTGGGCTGAATACGACCCAGCTGCCTGGTATGTACACTGTGAAGGGAAGGATGGTTGTGTAGAAATAGCAAACCTACACACACAACCAGCCTGTCCTTAGTGTGAGTACAGCCCCAGACAAAAAATGACTCCAAACCTTGATGTAATGTTGGACTTAAATGCGCCAACTTCGGTTCTTTGTGCACTGAACAAACCTGATGTCATTCCAAGGGTGTTTCCTTCAAATTAGACACAAGACATGAACCAACAAATCTAGAAAGCAAACCCACCCTCCTCCCCACACAGCCAAAATGAACAGGGTCAATTCGAATCATCTTGGCTAAATGGCCAAATAGAAAAGATGTTTGGTATTTCCAGAAGCAGCTTTGTTTGCCTTGGCTTCCTGCATCACAGTGTGGAGATGAAATGATGCTGAATCTCCTGCCATGGGCAGCACTTGGGGGGATCCTCACTTGGGCAGCATTTCTCTTCTCATTGAGAGCTGCCTTAATGGTTCCAAGACCCTGTGCAAAGACCTGAGGTCACATACATAAAAAATCAGCATCTTCAGGGTGCTGCCCCTCTCCCAAAAGGAGAGGTTCTACCCCACTGCTGTGCTCCTGAGTCAAGTGCTACAGACCCAAACCTCATGGTTGGCTTCCAGCACCTGGGGGGCAGCAGGGAGTGACATGATGGTCCTCAGCACCAGGGGGGGGTTTGCTGAAAAGATGGGATTTTTTTTTTTAGCAGACATTTCTCATCCAACCCAATGTTTTGAACTCGGAAGCCTCCTTTGAATGACATCAAATTGTAGAAGGGGGATTTTGTGCTTCAAGATAACATTTTAGCTTTTGGACTTGCAGTTGAAACATAAGACGTGGAATAATGAGAAGAAAATGCAATAAGCCCAATTTTGGAAGTGTTTCAGTTCTCAGGCAGCCTCTGCTGAAATATTCCTGATAGATGAGTGTGCTAAAGGAGGAAATGGTTTTCTCACAGCCAGATGGTGAGGTGTTCTGGGTTATGGATTTGCCTTTGCCTTGTTCCAAGGCAGTGGCAGGGAGAGCTGCACACCTGGGCAGCAGGGGGGGGGGTTGTGCTGCCACAGACCCACCTCAATGAAGCATTTGAAGGAATCTTTAAAAACAACTCAGGAAATGGCTCTGAGCAGTGGTCACTTCCAGGGCAAGAATGACTTTAACAAATTGCTTTTCTCCATTGCCCAGATGAAGTTACTTCACAACACTCCTGGTGATGATGTTTTCCTTTCTAGATGCTCTGAGCTACAGGCCACAGTCATTCCCTTACTTTTCTGCAGCTTGGGAATTCTCCCACTGGGAGGCATTTCCTTTATTACAAATTTACTATCCCTATTCCTCCCCACTCTGCAATGAATCTCCTCTGCATTTGTAACAAAACTGCCTCCAGTCCCTCCAATCTTTCCACCCTTTTTGTGTTTCCCTTCAGCAGAGGCAGATGCAAAAGGTGTTTGTATAACCAGCATCTCAAACCCCCCTCTAGGATGGAATATAAACTGCTTTAAAATCTCACTTAAATTAATTTAGGCTAACTTGAAATGTAAACTTATTCCAAAACTACTGCATTTCTCTGAACTGTGAGAGATTTTAACTAGCTCAAAGCTATTCATACAAGCCTGCAGATATACTCTACATATACTAGCAGCTTGTAACCTCCGAGCAGATTTTCATTACCATGTGCTCTGTATCACAGACAAATCCTTTGTGACTGTTTGGAGGCAGTAAATAGCTTTTTATTATTATTATTTTATTATTTATTTTTTAAAATTCAGTCCTGTCTCTTTCCATGAGAAAACCTCAATGAGACTGGAAACTTGGGAGTGCCCCTTCTCTCCTTAAAAATGAGTCTTGGCTCTGACTGGCATCCGTGGGAGGAGGAACACACCTGCAAGGGAGAAATGAGTGTCAATGTGCTTTTTTTAATGTTTAATGTGCTCAGGAAATTTCCACCCATAAGAGGCACAAGCCCAAAGTTTACAGAAAGATTTGCTTGCTCTGGTAACTCTGAGCACCGAGGTGACGTTTTGTGAGTCACTCAGGGGCCAAACCTTTTCACTTTTGGAGCTGTTAATACAAAATATGTCATATATTGAGATCTTAATTCTGTTTTGCTCTACCCTGTTGCTCTGGTGTGAAAGGATTGATGTTGGCAGAGTGCCCAGGGGCTAAAGGGCAAACCAAAGGATGGCCAAGACAAGCTGCCCCAGGCTCGATCCTGGGGCAGGGGCTGGATTTTCCGTGTGTGAACAGTTCCATTGAAATCACTCAGATTTTCATAAATGGGACTAACATTTCCTCAATTTAAAAGCAATCTGAAATCTCTTCGTGATTTAAGGCCAAAACAGATCTTTTTGATCATGTGGGCTGCGACACCATGAAGCACTGGCCATGGGAGTTCACAGCAGCTTCCCATGGACTGAGCTGAATCCCTTGGTTTGTAGGGCACAGTTCCCAGTTCACCCCATTTGGTCTGGGGACACAGGGCTTTGGAGGATCCAGTTTTCATTCAGCTCTTTGTTCTGAAGCCACTTCAAGAAAATGTCCATCTAATTTTTGTTTTCCATGTCAGCCAAATCCTTTTAACACCTCTGCTTTGTGTAGGGGAATGAGAAAGACCCACCATAACCTAATTTGCAAGACACCCAGGCAGTGGTATTTTATGTTTAGATGCAGTTGAGTTGATTCCTGCTTCCATATTTCACTACCTGATGTCCACTCTCAAGGTCTCAGTTAAATTATCCCAAAGAAAAGGGAATGGCACTGGTTGTCCTCTTGCCACAGGTCCAGACCCTCTGTGCTCTGTGGGTAAAAGTATAAATGTTGTTATGCTTCTGTTATCTAGATAATATTTTAAACATAATGTGTGTGTATTTACATACTTCCAATGTCACCTGTGGTGTTTTTTACAAAATGCAACTTTCTGTAAACTTGGGGAAAAAAATCCCAACATTCAAAAGGAGATATGAAAGCTTCTGGGAGCTGTGGTTGTAGATGTGTGTCCCTTCAGCAGGGGTAAGTATGGGAAACTGCTGGGGTTTGGGTGGCAGAAGCCTTGGGCTCCCAGAAAAAGAGAGAGGGAGAGAACTGGGAAGCAGACAGGGACTTGGTCTGGGGATGTGGTTTAACTGGGAAAGGAGTGAAAACACTGGGTTGAAGGATGAGCTGGAAAGAAAAAAAAAAAAAGATTTCCATGAGTTTTTACTTGTTTAAGATATTGTCCTGCTTTGAGCCAGGATGAAGTGGGAGTTTGGTGTCTCTTCTACCCCCCTTCCCAGAGAATACCCCTTGGAGATGCTGAAAATGCTGCTCTCCCCATCCCATTCCCATGGGTTGCTCCCAAGAACCAAGGGAGACGCTTCTGGCAGCAGCTCTCAGGGCTTGGGAGGAGCTAGAGGAGCTCCCAAAGGAGAGCATTTTCCCAGACTATCTGCCATAAAGGGATGCTGATGAAAAGAAACAAAACTCAGATCTAAACAACCCAGGAAAGAATCCCTTTTTGTCCTGATTTGTTATAATTTGCTGCTGTGACCTTCCAGTCCAACAGCTTCCAAGAGCTGCTGGATTTCCAGCCTTCCACAGGCTCTTAGAAAGCTCAGGGAGCTGCTCAGATGTATTTTCTACACGCTGATTTTACAAAACCCTTCTAAACTTTCAGTAAACTTCTTGTCTCCCTTAAACCAATCTCCTTTTTATAGCCACATTTAGGCCTGCAGCCAAGACTTGCACAGTTCTATTTGATCTCCTTCATAACTTTGAGCTGATGGTGAAGGTTTTGAACAGCCCTTAATTTTTCACAGCCAAAAAAGCAGTAATATTGAAGGAAATATTCCAAAATATTCCAGCCTGCTTTATATAATGTACTAAAATAAACATAGTGAAGCCAAATCATCTTGGTGGGGTTTTTTTTTGAGAGGGCATTTTGAAGTTCACTACAGCTCTTTTTGTACATGATTTGGTTACTCACAAAAGATGAAGAAATGTAATCCTGCTGTTAAGTGAGATGAAAATATTGTTGGGAGTTAAGGAGACTGAAATCTACCTTGTGGTGGCTCATTTCCCCTACTGGTCACAAAGGCCTGATGGCCAAGACAGGTCTCAAGGTGGTAGTTGCTGAAGTTCCAGCAAATTGCTTCTTGCCTGTGCAGCAGAGCACAACCCTGCTGGGGTGGTGTGGGTGATAACACTGGAAGGGGAAGAATCCTGTGCTCCTGGGGACCAGTTAATTGAAATCCCAGTAAGAAGCCATGAAATAGGATGTCTGTGGGCTGCAGGTTTTGTTGGGTGGCTGCAGCACCTGGGGGGTGGGTCAGGGCAGGTGTAGGCAGATTCACAGGTGCTAGGAATGGAATAACCAGTGACAGAGAGACCCAGATGTGGTGGTTGGGAAACCTTGCACGTGGCACTGAAGGTTTCACAGCAGAAAATCCAAGGATGTGAGTTTTGTTGAGCAGTTAGAAGTTCTCTCTCTGTTCCAATTGCTCTCAGACTAACCTTGCTTTTCAGTGTGTCCTGCCCTTCCAGCTTCTCCTGGGGAAAACCTGATTCCTTCCACTTTTTGCTGTCATAATTTCTGCTGTTTTCCTTCCAGCTGCAGGATTCACTATAAGGATATGTACAATTTGTTACGTGTAATTGCTCCACCCCTGGGCTTAGGAAAGAAGTGCCCTCATAGGGTGGCCTACAAGGTTTGGAACTTCAGAGACTCCCTCCAGCCTTTTCAGTTCTGGTTTATGTTTCTTTTTACTCCCCCTCCCCAAGTGCAAAGAGTGCAGAAAAGAAGCTGCAACGTAACTAACCTCTTGCCTGAAAAAAAAAGGAATGATTGAGTGACTGCCTCCTCTTTCCTTTGTGCATCTCTTCCCCATCTACTCCCACACCCCAGCTGGCTGGAGACAGGCAGCTTTATGAGACAATGAACCCTCCAGCTTCCATCCTGCTGGGTCCAGGTGGGAAGTGTGGGGGGGAAAGCAGCACAGCATCCCAGCCCTTTCCCTCCAGGTATCCACACCAGACAGAAACAGCATCCTGAGATTTGGAGGGAATAACAAATCTGGGTTTTTTTGGGCTTCAGAGCAATGTCCCTCCAGCTGAATGACTAATCTATTAAGCCTTTTCCTGAGCTGAAGAGACATTTGATGTGGGCACAGGTCAACTGGGCAGCAGAGTGGGATGGTGAACTGGTTTGGGCTGAGATGGAGGGTTGAACCACACGACAGCCAGAGGTTGCCTTGGGAGCAATGATCCCATCTCTGAGATGGTGAGGTATGATGGACATCCAATGAAACCTCCTGCCTGGTGGCACAGGAGAAGTACAGCATGTCTGGGAGCTGAGGTGGGGAATTAAAACCAGGTCTTGCCCAGCAATCAGCACAGGATGGCACTGGGCTTCAGTGGGGTCCCAGTTACAGGCTGGGATTTTCCTGCAGCCAGTGCATGGGGAGCAGAAAGAGAAGATGGAGGGAGAAGTGGAAGCAGGCAGCAAGGAGCTGGCTCTTCTCAAGCACTCCCATCCCTGTTTTCCACACCTGACTGGGGATTAGGAGTTAAGCTGCACTGCAGAGAAGGTGTGAGGCCCTGCATCTCCAGCTGGGGAGCTGGGGCAGAAGGGAGAAGCCTAGAGGAAGCTGTTGGCTGTAATTACAGTTTGTGTCTCTCAGCAGCCTTTAAATTAGCTCTGGGCACTGAAGCTGGGGTGGCTTAACTGCATTAGTTACCAAGGACAGGAATAGATGGGTTTGGTGCAGCAAATTCTCTCCTCCACCCCCTCCTGCATCAATGTTTTGCACAAGCATGGAGAGCTGTGCCAGGGCAATGGGCTGGGTGGTGGGACCAGATCTGTGCCCCTCCTGCCCCAGAAAGGGCTTTCCTGGGGGGCTTGGGTCTCTCTTGCCCTCCTAGTAAAAAAAACCCTCCTTTTTTCCAGGGGTTAAACATTAATTAATTAGGTGCTGCAATGTGCTCAGGTCTCCTCAGATGACAGGCAGCACAGATTTGCACAGTATAACCAGCAGGCAGCTCACTGGGGAGGCAAAATGAGATTGTCACAGTCATGCTCCCAGTTTCAGTCATCAGAAGCAGGCAAAGCAGAATTCCTGGCTGTTCTGTGTCCCTTGCTTTTCAGGGCCAAATTTTATTTGCACTGGAAATTGGTGCCATCAGCAGGGACAGGTCTAAGGGCCTTTTCCCAAATCTTTACAATTCCTAGTCCCCTCTAACATGCAGGGCAGCCAACAGCCCTTGGAGACAACCAGTTGACGTTGGTCTGGTGAAAGAGGGAGCCCACCAAGTGTAAGGGAGAACCAGGTCTCCTGCGAATGCAGTGCTGGGCTCTGCTTTTGCCCAACCCACATTCAGGCTGGGGGGTTGCAGAGCTGCCCCCTTGGCTTGGAGGCAGAGCAGAGTCTGTCCCTCAAGCAAACACACCAAGTTTGGCTTTTGGTTTCCCTTGCAGCCCACAGGCTGAGCTCAAATCCAAGTGATTTACTCACTGAAGACAAGCTGAACGTTCTCTCCAAGCCTCAGCTCTCCCTGTCCCATAACTCTGCCTACCCAGCGTGGTGACCACATCCCCTTGAAGGGATGCTTTGGGGGGGGAGGGAGAGGAAGCCTTCCTCCCACCCCAAGGAGCCAGCAGACCCTCAGCCCTCCCCACACCCCCAGCAGAGCCCTCAATCATTCCCCAGGGACCCGTGGGCATCAAAACACAGCAACGGAAGCGGAGAAACCTTCCCCTGCACCCACCTCTTGATTTCTGGCTTTGTTTTCCTGAGAAACCTAATTAACCAGATCTCTGTTTTCTTGTCTGCTTTCCCTTCTCTCTCCTCCTTTTTCATTTGCTCCCTTGTGTTGCCCCTTTCCCCCCATCCCCTCCCCATCCCGGTCTGGTTTGGTTTTGGTCTCCTCTCGCTTTTGCCTCCCTCCCTTTGCCTCCAAGCGGGCGCATCAGTTACACAGACATGTATGAGATGCTGAGACACATGTCCCCACCTCTAGGCCTTGGAAAGAAATGCCCTGCTCGAGTTGCCTATAAGGTAGACCAACCCTTACAGAAACTCCTGCCAACCCACCAGCTTTTTTTTTTGTGCTGTGGCTGCAGCTGGTGCTGCTTTTCTGTGACATCAGTGTTGTTCTCCTGGATTTTGCTGGTGCTTTCTCTGCTTTCCAAGCAGACTGGATTTTGGATCTTCTGCTTTTTCCTCTTTTTTTTTTAATCATTATTTTTGGTAACCTTTTCTTTTTTTGGTCTTTGAAACTATGGCACATCAGTTTGTCTTTCCAACTATGTCTCTGCTATCTCTATCAGTGTTTCTCTTCTCTCTCATTCTGCTTCCATTTAGGTTAATTTGGGGAGGGAGGGTGCTAATGAGCAAATTACCCCACCAATATGATCCCCATTTATCTTTCTACAGCCCTTTGACTATCCACTCTCACCAGCCCATCAGTAGAATGCTGGTTTTTTCCCCCCTCCTTAATTAGATTGGAGTAATTAGAGTAGGCAGAGCTGTAGGAGTTAGCAAGCTATTAAACAAAGGCAGCACCAGCAGGGCTCCTTAAATACCCTTGTGAGAAAGACATTATTTTAACAGAAAACATTGAAGACAGATGCAGAAATCACTCCCAACTTCCACTTACATTCTGAAAAAACTTTTAAACTGAAGCACCAAAAGGCTGCTGCCTGGATGAACACAGTGGGAGCTCATGGAGAGACACTGAGTTGGAATTTCAGAGCAGAGCCCAGACTCCTCCAGGGAAAGGCAGCCTGCTCTCCCAGCAGCTTGCACAGCCCTGGGAAGCTTGTATTTGCAGGGGCAATTCCTTGGAAGCCCTTCACATTGAGCCTGGCAGCTCTTGAGGGAGAGGTTTGTCGTGAGCATTTAGTATTGGTGTAATGGAGCATCTGGCAACCCCCACAGGGTTTTTGGCTGTTGACCTCCTTTTGGGCACCACCAGGACTCATTACTGCAGCCCAGCATGCTTGGTGCTGTGGATCCACATCATCACAGCCCCTCAGTAGTGCTGCTGTATTTATTTTTCTCCCCTGAGGCCATTTGAGAGCAAGATTTTGCAAAGAGACTCAATCTAAACCCAAAACCTGGGCCTGCCTTTGTGAGAGGCACTTAGCAGCAAGAAGAGGTTCAGAGACAGGTTCCTATAAGATCCTTCCTCATTGTGTCAGGATTTAAAAGAAAAAGAAAATTAACTATAACCCTAAAACTAGCCATTTGGACATCTTTTCTGTATTTCTTTTGGTTTCTTCCTGGCCTCTATGGTAGCTGCTTTGGAAGAGCATCTCTGTCCTGAGCAAGTCACACCCACCAGGGCCTGACTAAGCTTGAGAAACCCAGCTACCTCCAAAATGTCACCTCCCAGCTCCTCTTCCAGATGGATGGGCAGCTGGATAAAGGTTTATTTAAGAGACACCCATGATACACAGAAAGCCAATGCTTTTAAAGGGATCGATGGTTCCTTTTAGCACCTGTGACTTCCCACTGACTGCTCAGTGCTCACCAGCAGCATAAAGCTCTCACCTCTCCCCTGCCCCTGAATCTAGTACAGTTTAAAAAGGAAGAAAGTAAAAGGGGGGGGGGGGGAAGGG